CTCCTGTGCCGAAAGCCAAATTTTCAGTATAAATAATACGACTATATAGTGTCTGAAATCATGTATTGTTCTAAGGATGAAAAATGGAAATTTTTCTGGTGTGCATTTCAGTGAACATTAGAAGGTGTATAAAATACTGTCTTTAAAAAATGAGAAAAGCAACTCTCTTTCGAATGTAACTGCGTGAAGAAGAAACAGACGTTCAGCAGTGGAAAGATGTTCATGGAAAACCGTGTTCAGGGAAAATCTGCCTACTTCTCAGAGATAGATAACTTTTTCATTAGACTTGCAGGAAGGTTGGTTCCTACGGAAGTACGGTCTTGTAAAATGTGTCCGAATGGTCAAACACAAAGTGCTTTAGAATTGTTACAGATGTGTCCGCTGTAGCCTGTCACTCAGTAATGCTATGCTTCGCATGAGTACCGATGCTCTTTCAGCACTGAAGGATTAGCGTACAATAAGTTACTCAGCCTAGCGGAAGATCAAAGTCACCGAGGAACGCTAATTGGGCGTTGGAATGTGATTTAGACAAGGCGGTGCTTCATATCAGGATAAGCTTCAAAGGTACCGCGGAACATTGTTTATCGGGCAATTGAATTAGAAGACCGGAAGACTGTCCATTGCCGCAGAAGATAATGTAAAGCTGTATCCGCTGAAAATGCTTTTCTTACTTTTTATATAAAGCCCAACTTCCTTGACACTAAATGTACTTCTGGCAAATTGCGTTGATGTGCGTTAACATGGCGAAAGTCAAGCCGAAGAGTACCGGGAGGCTGATTGGCTCCACCATAGGCACTGACAATTGAAACAACAAAATCACTGTTTATTTCATTGTCGTTGCACGCCTTTATGACGTAAGAAATAACATATCGTGTTATATTTCACGTCAGTAGCGCATGCCTCCATCCATCAGGATTCACGACGAACTGCAAAGCCCCTTTGTTGCTGCAGGAGCCATTTAACCTCGCCGTAACTCAATTATAATTGAGTAACTGCGGTGATCCGCATCCTTCCTACTCTCGCATCCTCCTGATTGACTGAGCCACATTGAGCTCATTACAACCGATATGTCATCACCTGTTAGTCTTCATGTAATACCGCATAAACATCAAAGCATGTTCATGCACTACAGTATGTCAGATAAAGCGATTGCTTCAAGATCAGATTTCAAAGTGCATTACACCGTCTCCCGCTCATAGTTGCCTTGCGGATAACATGCCTTGAAATCTAGTCTTGGAGGAGTTCGGAGTTATGTGACATACCTCGGCGTACGAATGTACTTGGCTATTTCCACGTTGAATGGGAGAAGGAAATAGCGTGGAACTTTCGCGGACTCTTGAACGTAAGAAAACTGCTGTCAGCGAAAGTTCTTGAAATTTTCGGGCATCTGTTAACGAGGCTTTGGTAGATCGGTTACGCGATTTAATCGCAAA